AATCACAAACAGAACCATTTTCGCCTGCATTAAGAAGAAGCTGGAAGATCATAAGGGGAAGTGGTTGGATGAACTCCCGAACGTTCTATGGGCTTACAGAACCACCCCAAGGCGGCCGACTGGGGAGAGCCCGTTCGCAATGGCGTATGGTACCGAAGCAGTTATACCGGTTGAGCATTTAGTCCCCACTATCAGAAGCTTAGCATGGAGTCGAGATCAGAACGACAAGATGTTAAGATTGAACCTCGACATGATAGACGAAAGGAGGGACGCAGCGGCTATAAGGCTAGCATCGTATCAGCAAGTGCTGGCGAATAGTCACAACAAGAGAGTAAAACACAGGGATTTTGCCCCGGGCGATCTGGTTCTGAAAAGAAAGGTGGGGATGGTCAAAAAAATGATGCCACCCTGGGAAGGCCCATACAGAATTGCAGAAGTCATTGGCAAAGGGGCATATACGTTGGAAACCATGGCGGGAAAGTTGGTCAGCAAGCCCTGGAACGCCACATCTCTGAAGAGGTACTACCAATAGAAGCTAAGTTCTGGCTTTAATTGGATGTTATTTGTTGTCAATCAAATACGTATGAATGAGCAAGTTACTGGAATTTACAAAAAAAGAATTTTCTTTTCCAATGGTCTACTATAAAAATTTAAAGCCAAGTGGCAAGTGGCATTCTAGCCGAGCGCCAGACACTTAAGCAAGATAAGTGGCAGCTGGCACTATAAGCCGAACGCCAGACACTTGCTAAAAATTTAAAGCCAAGTGGCAAGTGGCATTCTAGCCGAGCGCCAAGCACTTAAGCAAGATAAGTGGCAGCTGGCACTATAAGCCGAACGCCAGACACTTGCTAAAAATTTAAAGCCAAGTGGCAAGTGGCATTTTAGCCGAGCGCCAGGCACTTAAGCAAGATAAGTGGCAGCTGGCACTATAAGCCGAACGCCAGACACTTGCTAAAAATTTAAAGCCAAGTGGCAAGTGGCATTCTAGCCGAGCGCCAGGCACTTAAGCAAGATAAGTGGCAGCTGGCACTATAAGCCGAACGCCAGACACTTGCTAAAAATTTAAAGCCAAGTGGCAAGTGGCATTCTAGCCGAGCGCCAGGCACTTAAGCAAGATAAGTGGCAACTGGCACTATAAGCCGAACGCCAGACACTTGCTAAAAATTTAAAGCCAAGTGGCAAGTGGCATTCCAGCGGAGCGCCAGGCACTTAAGCAAGATAAGTGGCAGCTGGCACTATAAGCCGAACGCCAGACACTTGCTAAAAATTTAAAGCCAAGTGGCAAGTGGCATTCTAGCCGAGCGCCAGGCACTTGCCGTACAAACACACAGCGAAGCTAATATAAAAAGAAAAAGAGAGAAAAGATATGTATGTACTGAAGATAAGTTGAACAGAGCACAACACATAGAGAAAAAGAGTTCGGCCATTTCATTAATATTGAACATTTAGTTTACAAAAGAGAGATGTCCATCATTACAAGAAGATATGAACTGGAAGAATTCGAAGGAGCCCTAGCTAGACGCCTCAGTACCAACAGCATCCTGGTCTTGCCGACTCGCCTCCTCGGCCCCATCAGCCGCCTCACCTTCATGAGGTGGGGAATCCAGGTGAATAACTGAGTCGTTCGGCTGGGGTTCAGCGTCAGCAGTGGCTACAGAGGGAGCCACGGTTGACGATTGGGGAGCGGTCAGTGGCAGAGCGGTAGGAGGAGCTGTGATGATCCTTGAGGATGCGATGTCCTGGCACTCATCAAATATACGTTCCGCTTCGGTGGGTTCTGGGTCGACATAGACCCCCAGAGGTTCGATCCCCAGATCCTTGTCTACCTCATCCGGAGTGGAGCTGGTCTGTCCCTCATCCGGAACCCGGTCAGCGAAACCTTCCCGGAATCCTTGAGCATACCGAAGAGCACCGACCCTGGAGAACCGAGCGTGAAGGGCCAGCATCCCACCACCCACTCTGCTGATAGCGTCGATCAGAGCGGTACGCTCGTCCAGAGCTCTTTTTTCAAAAGCCATCCGAGCAGACTGTTCATCAGCTAGAAGGCGTTGGAGTTCTGCCTTCTCTTCTCTGAGTGATTCCTGCTCAGTCTGCCAGACGCTCTTCTCAAGCTGGAGGGCGTCCTTCTCATCCTGAAGGGAATCATTCTCCTTTTTCAGGACATCTCTCTCTTGCTCGGCTTTGTCAAGCCGAACCAGCACCTCGGTATTCTTCATGGCAAGGAGGTCGTTTTCTTTATTAGCCACCTCCAGGCTGTCAGAATACTTTCGGGCCCTGGCGTTCCCCATCTCCACCTGCTTCTGCATGGCCATCATCCCGAACAATGTCTGCATAGGTGCACAATAAGAACGGTTAAACCAATAGTCAGAACGGGCGAAGGCAAGACCAAGTAATATAAGAGAATTCATGAGTTAGAAAATAAAAGTCACCTCCATAGCAGATTGGGGAAAGCGACTGAACACGTCCTTCTGGGAAAGGCCCTTTGCCGCCTCAATGTCCTTCGGAGTCCACATGCTCCTGTAGTAGGCCATAGCGGTCTGGCCATCCTTCAGCATGGTCTCGTTCGGTTTCACGAACGTCCCATCCGTTCGGGTGTACCGAGGGGCCCATGGCGGTAAGCTGGGGATAGAAGGGGGGCCTGAAGCAGAAGCAGAGCCACCAGCTGCAGGAGGCCCAGAGGGAGAAGGAGCTCTGATCGCTCGGTGCAAGAGAGTACCCGGCCCAGAGACTCGGGTCCTTCTAATGAGAGGCTCCTCCTCAGGATCGATTTCACTGTCAGGATGAGGCCTTTTGCCTCGCTCTTTGTCCCGACCGCCCCCCGCAGCAGCAGGAGCTATGGTAGCTGGGGAGGGCGCGTTCTGGTTGGCAGCAGGGGCGCTGGCAACAGGGTTAGTAGCCACTGCGCTCGGGACAGTGTCAGATATGGTGGCTGAAGAAGAAGCCGACGCTGGAGAGGAGGTCGCCCCAGCAGCAGGAGTGGCTGGGGGAGTATTTTTCCTCCTGCCAAAAGAGGGAATCTGCAGTCTGCTCATATTGTAGCCGAATGATGAGAGCGCAAAGAGGTTGTCTGAAGTGAGGAGATCTGAGCAGGAAGGAATATCGTTCAGAACGTATCTCTTCAAGTAGTTACTCCTATCCCTGCAAACACTATAGCTCAAGTCATCACAAGGTATTCCCAAGGAGCGGCATAAGTAAGTGCAAAAACGAGGAACGCATGTTTCACAGGGGCAGTCATGTTTATGGGATTTGAATTTTTTATAGGAGGAGACAGAGCAGACACCAAAGGCGCTCGGGATTGGGTAATCCTCTGCAGCCGGCGAAGACCAAGCCCCACTAATGCCCACTATGCTATCCCTCCAACCCTTTTCAGATTTTATTGTGTCAGTGCATATGGACATCTTCTCGAACGGGTAGAGGTGGTAGAAGGGCTCGTTAGTACGGATCTTACTGACCTTATAGCACAGAAGGAGGTCTATGAGGTCAAGGTCCAGATTTCTGTCACGCATCAATAAGAGCATAACAGATATGATCCTAAAGAAGTTGGGGTTGACCTGCAGAGGGGATATCCCCAATCTATTGAAGACATAACTAAAGAAAGGGTGCAGAGGGAACCTAACAACATTCAGTTGAAGGTTCGTGAATAAGACTTCGCCGGGCAGGAGGCCGGCGCCGGTCGTAATATTAACGTCTTGGGGGCAAACCCTAACTTCGATGTTGTCAGGAAGTCTAAGTCTCATACGAAGAACACCCAGATCTACAACCATGGTGGAAGTGCTAGAAGAATCTAAAAGAGGGAAAATGGAAGCCTGCCGAAAGTAAAAAGAACGAAACTAACCTCGGAGGACTGCAAGATCGCTGGGAGAATGACTCTCGAAGGATTTCACCGGAAAAGGCTTAGCACAGTTCTAGAAAGAGGGAGATTTGGCTGATGATGGAGACGGTAAAGGGAAGTGAAGTGGAATTCTAGAGCATTATAAAGGCAAGGGGGCCCGAGGGCCGAAGCGTCGGGAAGGCAAGAAATCCCTCGAGCCCCGGAACATTGATTCTGGATCTGACCGTTCGCTCCCCCACGTGGTTATCTCGAGCCGTCAGCGTCATGATGAGACGCCATCAATAATTACCCCTTATTAAATAAGGGGCAATTATGGGGGCAGTTGAGGAGGCCCCGGATGACATGGGCCAGGTCCGACTCGCAAAACACAACCTTCAGTCCGAACAGCTGGGTCAGCCCATAGAAAGACACTGCCATATGGGCCGAGCGGGAGTAAGCCCATCAAGGGTGACCAGGGCTTACAGAGGAATAGGCCCAGGTCCAGCAATTAGTAAATATCTTGTAAATATCTTGTAAGTATCTATAAATAGGAGTTGGAATGAAGAGGAGAGGGATCTTTTTTGGGTTGAGGTGTAAGAATTCTAGAGAGAGAAAGAATAGAAGGAGTTTCTTGCATCTTCACCTAGAGAGAGAAAGAATAGAAGGAGTTTCTTGCATCTTCACCATGGCAGCAAAAGTATGCCCTGCATTGAAAAAACAGAATCTGAATTCTCATTATGAATAAATTCATTGCATTGTTTTTATCTGGAAATTTGAGCAGTTCCTTCCATCCCCCACAAAGGAAAGGTGAGGTGGGGGTAAAAACCAAATAATTTGGCCCTTGTGAGATCTATCCAAGGATATAGTACACAGACCTGATTCCTTTCACGTGCACGACAAAGTCCTCTTCCCTGTAACAAAATTTGAGCTGAGCTTCTTCTCATTCTGTATGAAGTCTGTAGATGGACAACAATGCTCGCAGCAAAACCCTACGTCATCTCCTGTTATAATCATATTTTGAACGAAACCCAAGAGTGGGTTAAATGTGCATCCACCCTGATTGCTACCTGAGAGGGCAACTCCATCACAGCAGTGAAATATGATACATTTATCCAATTCCGGAAATGTGAAACATTTGAAACTCAGAAAATAAAAAAATAAAAATCCTTGAGAGAAAACAAGGAAACTGTTACTCACTGTCAAGTAAATTACAAAACCAACTTTAATAACAAAAACTTCAATCCAACAAATTGCCCATATTTTTGACAAAAGAAACATATACACTCTTTGACATTCAAAACAGAAAATCTTTATCTCATTCAATTACAATATGGCGCACAAACAATGATGTGGTTACACCTTAATTTTGTCTAGTTCTTGCTAGCTACAGAGCTGTTCTGGAGTATACATGCCTCCACCATCTCTCAATGAATACTTCCACAAACACACGTTTGAAACAGAGAAACGCCACAATCTTACACCAAGTGCACAAAAACCATCGAGTTATCTCTCTTGTTCATGGTAAGCCATTGTGTCTCTCTTCCGCATCAAGTACGAGATTTTCCATAGAGGTGGGCATACACAATCCTAGTCCGATACACAAGAATCATGCTTAAACCAACTGCAACAATGCAGAACCCTGACATTATCATGGACGTCAGAGAGAAGCAGATGACACCCTCACATTTTGGTGGTTCATCCAGATTAAGAAAGCCTTGGAAGATTGATCCCAATTTCAGTTGATGTTGATGATGATGGTGCCGATGAGCTTGCTTCTCTGCTTCACTATCATAAATACTGCTAGCAATGAGACCAGAGAAGACTAGCGAACCTGCAGGGTTTGCCAGAGTGATGAAATTGTATATAGCGCCAAACTTTTTTAACCCAAACAACTCAGAGGCAGCAGCCGGCACAATTGCCCAGTGGGCTCCATATCCAAGCCCGATCAAAAGAGTACCAATGTACATTGCCCCAGGCCATCCCATAGCAAAGAAGATGTGGCCAATTGACATTATGAATTGCGCAACAGCCATGGCCACTGGCCTTGGATAAGCATAGTCCCTATTCAACAATATCACAAAGGCTGGATGAGAAAAATCCAAAACCAAAATAAAGTTCACATCCATGATGAAATGAAAGCAATTTGTACCTGACAATAATCTCAGAAAAGTAACCACCACCAACGCGCCCAAGAAAGTTCCAAATGCTGATCATGGAAACAAATATATGTGCATTATCATACCCTAAAGACTGGCTCATCTGACCCAAGTTATCAATTACTGTCAAACCAGATCCAGAACCTAATAGAAGTGAGAAAAAGATGAGCCAAAAATCTGCTTTGATCAAAGCCTGCATCAAGGTGAAGTCCTCCCCCCTGCGCGGACCTCTCCTCCTCTTGATCCTAACTGCTCCTTCTGCAGCTGCTTGGGCTAATTTTGCTTGCAGCTGGGCAATTCTTTTTTGCCTCTCTGATGCTGGAAGCAAGTCTACTTCCTTAGGCTTCTCATCTTCTACCTCACTAAATATAACCTCATTTACATCATGCCCAGATTTGCTAGGATCTTGTTTATTTGGCTGGGGTAGAAGAGCCTCTTCTGCCGCATCTCTTGGCTCTGATGAAAAACTTAATGAGACCGGAATCACAATGGGTATTATTATGAGAATAAGTAAAATTACTGTGAAAATTGTGACCACAGTGTGGCTCAAATCAACTAAATCTTCGAGAAGCATGACCCCCATCAAATAAGCAGCCAAAAGGAGGCACACACTATATATAAATGTGAAACTTAAGCTGTCAGATTGCCGAACTTGTCTGTGACCTCCAACAGGCTTGACAATGAACATAAGAGCAATTACCACCATTGCCGGACCAACTGCAACCATGAATATGAGTGATGCGTGGTCAGGGGAATGGATCATTGCATATATCTGGGTCAAAATAGCACCACCTAACCCAGCGAATCCCTTCAGTATTCCCACCACAGGACCCCGGCTTTTGGGGAAGTTTTGCACGCATGAGACCAGAGCTACCGTATTAAAGTAGGTCTCACCATTATTTCCCACAAATATAAGAATGCACATCTGCATAATGACATTGGTCATCGAGATGGAATGAAAAATCAAATTCTGCTTCCAATTTAAAAGAAAAAATAAAAAATCAACTTTGAGTGGAAGGACTAAAAGAAGTGTTCCAATATTACAAAATTAAATAATTATCTCAACTAGCACAAATGTTCATCATCCAAGTGAGCTACAAAAGCAATCTGGGATAAATACACATGTTGCTCCGCTGAAAGAAGGTTTGGTAATAAGCTTAAAACATGAATGATACTTATGCTACAGAAGATGAAAAACTCTCTTCGAAAAGCTATGAAGTTAACACAACATTTCATTTTCAAAAAGTATTTTTTTGTGATGACAGGATAAATTTATTACAACTCAACCAACCAATAGGCCCAAAGTTCTGTAAATTGAAATGGTATCATAATCGCACTGAAATCAGGTCAAACTCAAAACATCAATATTCACACATTGTTCCTCACTTCCTCCATAACATATTGGCAAAAACTTGAAAAAGTAATCATCATATATTTATACAAATATTTAAATGATCCCCTTGTCTCTCTCTCCAAAGTTAACGTATCAATAATTGACAAGACAAAGTGAGAGAGGTAAATAAATTAATACTACGTAGATGATTATCAAAAGCAAATTTTTACAACTACTTTTCAGCATAGACAAAAATATCACAATGACCAAATTACCAGCCCTCCCTAGACATTATAAAACTATCGTATCCTTGATTATCAATTCAACATTAAAATTCCTACAACTAACAATTAACATTGAAGAATGTATGACAATCTTTATGCTCTGTTTGGTATAAAAAACCGTAAATCAGGGGTAAAAGGAATGGTAGGAGGTGCTAAAGAAGTATCCTTTGGGAAACGAAGAATGAAGGGTCTTTCACTCATGATTTGACCATTATAACCTTCCATAACTTTTACTCATTTTTTTTTTAATTATCAAAAGGACTTTTTGGAAGGGTAAAGAAAAAGAAAGAAGTGTTTCCCTCTATCTTTCCTCCCACTTTTGATATGTGCCTCTAATAGAAGTATCCATGTTTCATAGCTGCCAGTATAATGTTATTCCCTGGAACAATTAAAGGTAACATAGAGAAGTTAGTTCATAAATCAAAAGAATTAAATTATACCTTAATTACATTTAGGACTATAGTGTAACCAACAATCCTCAATTAGGTTTAATTCCTTTGCATAAATGTAATCAAGCTCTATAAGCTATTAGTGCTTGCCTTGTGTTCAGCCTGGCAATTAACCTTTCAAACTTAAGTTTTTTTCATCAACTTAATTTGTTGGGCTAGTTCATCAACTTAATATGTTGGAGCCCAGCAAGCTGCACAAGGCACGTTGTACCAAACCTGGTGACACCATCATACAGAATACTTTGAAAATGGAAGTATTGAATCAAGAGAGAACAAAAAATCACTTGCTGAGTTCAAGATAAATAGCAAAAAAGATTAAAATCTTCATGTCTATAATCATCAGATGTAACACAAATTCCCTACGCAAATAGATAATAACCAAAATCCATCTGTCTATGTCATTCATCACATATCAAACAATATTATGAACGCCCATTATAATGAAATTCTTTAGCAAAGCATCTTGGTTGTGTAAATTTAATAAGTACATACCAATAATACTACAGCCTGCTGCCACTAAAGAAGGAAAGAAAATATCAAGTTGGAGAAGAAATTGCAATGGGAAAAATAAGTTTCCAATTCCCCAGAAATTCTGAAGTTTTGAGGAATTTAGGTTGCGAATATACATTTGAGAGGTAAAAAGTAATATTCAAATGATCAAACGGAAAATTAAATTTGCTTATTCACAGAATCAACAGAGTCAAAGATCCATTAAAATAGTGATTATTAATAATAATAAAGGCAAAGCAATTCATCATCCGAAGTCCATCCAAATCATCTTAGAACCCTTGATACATATATTCCAAAGAAAAAATCCAAACCTTCTTCACTAAAATTTTAACTAAATTAGAAGCACAAGAATCCAAACCTTCTTCACTAAAATTTTAACTAAATTCGAAGCACAAGTCATCAACAAATCTCTAACAAAATTCATCTATATACACACACACACACACACACCACTTTAATGGTTTTTTGCCAATGAAGAGAAAAAATAAAAGAAAGATCAAAATTAGAATGTGGCACATCAGAATAATTTGAATAAATGAGTCTCTGGCACTTTTCAAATCAGAACCATTTTCTAGAAAGTACAAGGGAATAACAAACAGTGAAGCAATAGATTCTATATTTAACACAAATAGCTTATTACACAGAAATAAAAGACAAAGTACTCTACCAATTGGATTAAGCATGAAATTTTCAACAAAAACCAAATCACAAGTTTACTAACATTATTTCCCAGAAGAAAGAAAAAAAAAACAGAAAAAGGCAAAGTAAGCTAAAGGCCCATGTCAAGAATAGTAATGGATAGAAGAAAGAGACTTGATTGAAAAGTCCTCAAACAAAGCAATTGAACACAAAAAGATGATGAGAGAGAGTATTTTGATTAGTACTCACAGCCCATAACGGCAAAATTGGAGCTCGACCGGTGACAACCAACCAGACCCAACCATACCCAACTAAATTCTGCATAGCACCAACAAAAAGAGCAGCCCATAGAGGCAACACTTCGCACAAACTACCAGCCAAGAACCCAACACTGTCACCAAGGTCCTTAGCCACACCCAACCTCGCAATCTGCCTCTGATTGTAGTTGAGAGAGCTCTTTATCGCCGGCGATATACTCCCGAAGAGATACCCAATCCCCGCACACGATTGTATCCACATTGCGGCCACAAAAACCAGCCATCTGTTGTTAACGAAGGCTTCAATCTTCTCTCGGAGCCGAAACATCGTGAGTCAAACAGAGTCTTTATCTATGTGTTTTTTTTTTTGGTATGCTTGGTTTGTTCAGATGGGTTTTGAAGATCTGAGAACAAAAACGAATACTGGGGTAGTTTGTCTATGATATTGGTTTGGCTTTGCTGTAATGATGTTTCTTGGCTTTTTTAAATTGAAGAACAGAGCATATATGTTAAGTCCATTGTTGATAGATGAGAGTCAGCATCGTTTATGCACAAAAACTATGTACTCGGTACATATAAAATGCCCTGATTATTGAAATAATTATAGAAGTGCCATTTATGCTGAGCGAGCCATATAGTATTTGTTGTCGCACAAGACAAGAAGCGACACGATAGTAGTGACGGCATAGTTTATTTCGGCTATAGGGTATAGAAATGATTGAAGCTTATGCCACGATAATATTTATCTCAATTAACAAATACCAATATTCAAATTTAATATCGGTAATAAATGTTGGTTTTTTTTTTTTTCTAATTAAAAATAATAATTCATTGTCTAGAAACTCAAGCTTTCGGCATAGTTTATTTCGGCTATAGGGTATAGAAATGATTGAAGCTTATGCCACGATAATATTTATCTCAATTAACAAATACCAATATTCAAATTTAATATCGGTAATAAATGTTGGTTTTTTTTTTTTTCTAATTAAAAATAATAATTCATTGTCTAGAAACTCAAGCTTCAATTTGTGTCCATCACTTCTTACTTATTGAAAGAGACATTTATATAATATATTAGTTAATAGGTAAATTATACTAAACTGCCTCTTTTGATACTCAAAATCGTTTTTCGATCCCTCTACCAAACGAGTTTAAGGAAAGTCAATAAATATTAAATAATTTGTCGTATAATTTATCCTTTAATTAATACTATCCCTTGAATTATTGTAGTGTATACATATATGGGTAAAAGGTATCATAATTAATAATATCTTAGATAATTTTTATTTTTATTTTTTTTTAAGATGCAAATTCTAATATGCAAAATTAATGTATACAACAAGAGCTATTAAAGTGGAAGGAAAATATAAATGATGTTTTAGAAGAGGTCACACGTCCTCGTTTGAGAAATTTAGTCTAAACAACTTGGTTGTCACTGGTATAAGTAATTAAGTACGGGACAAAACTGCCATTTGTCCGATTCTACAATAAATAGCTAGCCGACAGATTGAGTAGTGATCAAGTTATTTGTCAATAGATCTGCCCTTATGACCGCCCAAACCATGTCTAATTCCTTTTTCAGAAAAATAAAAAATTAGTGTCCCTGAGTCCCTCCAATAAATATATGGACCACGTTGAGAATCGAAGTGGACTAATTGGATTTATAATCATTGGACGGCTAGAAAGGCCAGTAAATTTTAATTGCAGCAAGATAGGCAATAAACGCTTTAAACTTAAACGGCAATTCCTATGTAAAATAGTTTTCTTCTAAAATATTTTTATGTAAAATATTCTCTTTATTTTTTTTATTTCCTGATGTTTAGTAATGATCCATAAAATATTTTTTAAATCAATTTTTCTGCATAATTAATTCTCTTTATTCAATCTTTCTTATCAACAAAAAATGGTACCCACCATTAACTCTCTCTTTTTTTTCATTGTTCTTCACCAACAAAAAATAAATAAATAGTACTCCCTAAACCATCTCCTCTCATTTTTACTCTCTCCCCAAGCTAAACTATCCCTCCATCTCCAGGGACGGAGCCAATGAAGGCCCAGGGGGACACGTGCCCCCCGAGTTGGTCAGCAACCTATAATATATGTCGTAATTTTTTAAAAAATTTCCATATATATATAAAAAATTATATAGTACCGCCCCTCAAATTTCTAATTCCTAAAATTATATTTTTATTTTTTCTTTATTTTCTCTTTTATTCTTCACATTTCTTAAATTTCTTTAGTATAAAAAGTCAAATTTTTCTTTCTCAATTGAAACTTTTCAGCTATTTCCTTTTAAAGTTATCTCATTTTTCTTTTCTTTTATATTTTAATAATTTTTTTTTTCCTTTGTCTTTTGAATTTTATAGTTGTTATATATATATATATATATACACACTCCGCATTGTTTTTTTTTTTTTTTTGTTAGCGTGCCCCCTTTCACTTGAAATCCTGGCTCCGTCACTGTCCATCTCTACCCTCTCTCTACTAGAACATGAGACCAACTCAAGTTTATGCCCTTTTCTTTCTCCTTTCACTTTATGTATACACATAGAGATGAGATAAAAAATCAAAAAATATTTTACGATGAGTCTAAGTGTAAATCTTTTTCGTTTGATATTGATTTTGAACTAGTTATACCATTTCATTTAGAGCAAAACTTAGATTCTCTGAGGTTCTACACTATCCTCACTAGTGATGTGGGTCAATAATAAATTGATATGCCATCTTTAATTACTAAATTTAATATGGTGGGTAAATATACACTTACTAAATCACAGAGATAATGATTTATTATTGGTGCACATCACGTGTAGATCATCACTAGTTTCATTTATTACTCGGGCAACTTGAAGATATAGAAGTAGGTATTTAGTGAAAATATATATATATATATGGAAATAGGTGATTAATAATCCAAGCCATTGTCAATAAGGTCTTACATTAAAAAGAAGAGTCAAGTGCAAAAAACACCTTAAAGTATGTTTACAGTGCATATCACACTTATTTGGTGCAAAAACTACCACTAAAGTTTCAATTTTTGAGCAAATATGTCTCTCTGACTAATTTAAACCATAAATTGATTAAATTATCCTTACTAGACCATTTTATAAAATATATAAAAAATAATAATTTTGTAAAATGACCGAAAATAACACTATTGAAAAATGCCCCTCTCATGCATAAAAACACCCTAAAGTTTAAATCTGGTACAAATCAGTCCTTCTGACAAATTTAAATCATAAATTGACTGAATAACCCTTATTGAACCATTTTATAAAATATACCGAAAATAATACTATTGGAGGACGGGGCAATGGACAAGTAAAGATAAAAATATAAAATAAAAATATAAAAGAAAAGTAAAGCTAAAGATATAAAATAAAAAATAAAAATAAAGTGCAAATTAAATAAAACAAAATTTTTCCAAACTCCGAAAATCAGTGCAAACTGATATTGGGATTTTTTTATTATTTTAATTTTAATTTTTTGTTTAACCGTGTTGGTGCCAAAAAAATTAAAAAGTAGTAAAAAAGAGTAACTGGAATCTCAAAAAATTTAAATCATTGTTTTTCAAATTCTCAAAGTTTTTTTAAAAAAAATGTTTAGAGATATATATAGAGAAAAAAGTTTCAAAATATATATATATATATATATATAGATAAGTTAATGTGTACATAACACCCCTATACTATGAGATTAATAGCATATATATCCCATTGGACATTTTCGGAATAGTAAAAGAGCAACACAGGTATTACAATATTAATTTATGCCAAATGGGATATTTTTGCACAATATAAAAAGATTAGTGATATTTTTTGCACACTTTTTCAATGGATCCGTTTGGTTAGCGTCAAGTAGCCAGAAAAGAAAAGGAAAATATTTAATTTTTTTTGGAAGTTTGGTTGGAGGGAAAGTGAAAGTTTTGGGGAAAGTAGGATTCCCCTATCTCAAAATTTTCCTCAAAATTTTTCGTGCAAAAAACATAAGGAAATTTACTTTCTTGCAAAAGTTGTGCACTTTGTATATTACTTTCCTATTATACTCATATTAGTTATCTCTTTTCTTCTTTACTTAATTACATAGACTTCTTTGGAGAGTTTATTTCTTCTGTAAATTACTTTTTTATAAAATCATGTATTACTAATTAAATTGTTTGTATTTTTTTTTATATATGCATCAAAAATTAATTAATTTTTTCCTTTTATTACTGAATTATTTTTTTTCATTTTTTTTAAATATCTTAAATAAGTAAAATATTTTTTTCTATAATTGATAATGATTAAGAGTTATTATATATATACATAACTATTTATTGATAACAAGAGTGTTAGGTGAAAACTAGTCTATATTATCTTAACACAATTTGTTTCATACCTAACATCAAACATTATCTTGAAATAAATAATTGATGATTCGTAAATAGTTTACATAATCGATTGATAATGCAAGTTTATACAGGAACAAGTGAATATATATAGATAGAGGAGAATAAAAAAAAAAAATTATATTATGATATCACATACTATTCTATTCCAAATTTCGCTATTTTCTTACTAAATTAAATAATTAAGTATAAATAATATATATCAAACATAAATTTATTTATTTATTTTTACTATTTAAAATTATAAGGGTATTTTGGGTAAGTAGAATCATTTTATTTTTCCTTTTCATGCTATCCAAACCAATAAAATAATATTTTCTTACAACTTTCTTCAAAATATTTCCTGTTAACTAAATGCATGATAGAAACTTGATTTTTCTTTCTTTTACTTCACTTTCTTTCACTTTCACTTTCTATAAAATTTTCTGTCTAACCAAACAGACCCATAAGGAATAAAAATATTACGCAAAGTATACTTTAGGGGTAATTTCTACCTTAGCCTTTTTTAAAAAAAAAAAATCGATCTCAAAAAAGTACACAATTGTCCAATTACAGAACTCAAAGTTTTGAAGTTCCTATAATTCTTTTTTTTTTAATCTTTTTTTTTTTTTTTTTCATAGTATTTCTGGGGAAAATTTACTTAAAATTGGCTTGTGACCCTCATTGTGTCAGGTGGATCCCATACCACGTGTGCTTATCCTGCCCAACCCTCAACTAGCATCTCTCTTTTCTTTTTTCATACTTCCTCTTATTTTCATTTTCATTATATATATATTTTTAATTGATTGGTCATTGATCTATATAATACTATTAAAAGTTCTAAAAGAATTTAACTGATTGGTCATTGATCTATACTATTATAATAATATTAAAAGATCTCAAAAATTTTAATTTCAAACTTTTCTGGTTTGAAATCTCCCCTAAAATATAAGAATACTACTAATTTCTGAATTTGAATTAAGTATTCGTTCCAATTTAATGTAATTCAGACGTTTAACAACCAATAATAATAATAAAAATAATAAGCAGCGACTCACAACTACAAATTAACATATGATCACTCATTTAGTTAGATGTAGATGTATATTTAATCAGATTGTCTACATGTTTAAATTTGAATTATTTTTTAGTTAGATAAACGAGAGGACTAGAAAAAGAGCACATCAAACGGTGACATAAATATTTAATATTCATAGTATATATATATATATATATATATATATATATATATATATTGTGTGAACATGTGTGGGGTGTTTGTTTGTGTCCAGACCAGATTCCTCTTCCTACCCACGATAACTGTACTGATCTTGACGATAATCATATATGTCCTACAATTTCACTCTTAAATGCCCCCATAATGCCTTTTTAATAGTTAGCATAATTTTGGCTTAGAATCAGATTTTGTCTTCAAAAAGCCTATTTATCCTTGCAAATCCGATTAAAATTGTGGAAATATTAATTGGAAGATATTTAAAAGTGGAGTAACAGCAATCAATTATCTTTTTGATAGGATAAATGTGGTAATTCAGAAGGGTTGATTAATAATATTCTCTTTTTGCAATTCAAAAAAAAGTTTCAAATTATGAATAAGAAATCATTACTTAGTGTAGTGGGGAATATAGAGGCATATTCTAAATCTCGAGTGTCGCAAACTTTCCATTGATATATTGCTAATTTTTCTAATAATATACACCTATTATTTATATGGATGAACTCTGGTCGCATACATGCCAGAGCGGTGGTAGTTGGTGTACAGAAGAGAGCTTGTTTGGAGAATATGAGGCTAATAAAGTAATCTTAACTCTTCCATTAAGCCATCCCTAATCAACTCTGATGAGAAATCAAGTGCAATTGAGTTAATTAAGTACCTCTCCTAATTACAAATAAGTAAAATTGATCAATAGTATAAAAAAGAGAGGAATCCAGCACACAAGTGGGGATAAGATGTTTGGCTTTCACCAGCATATATATTTCTGAAGACAACCTACGGTGCACGTTCTATGATTATGTTCAAAGGGTTTCCCATATTAATCTGACATGACTATAAAATTATATTTGGTCTTCTATTATTGGCTTAACATGTTTAAGAATATGATAATCAGCGATTATCACTATTTGGATTTGGATCTGGATCTGGATCTGGATCACCAAATGTGGACGGTGGGCCAACCAATAGGGTGTGACCAATATATATGAGTTAAATAAGGGCTATAAAATTTATAAAAATAAATAAAAATTATGATTTTGACCTCTAACTTGTTGGATAGCAGCATACTCAAAAGTGTCCCTACCATGCTCCTACTTTATTCAGCTTTTGGATCACAGAGCATAACACTAAAAACACATGCCCAATGAATTCAAAGAAAAAATCAAATATAATAATATTATGCAGGTGGAACCGTAGGACGTCTAATCAGAATTTCATACACACTGATCAGATTTATTTGACTCCCTTTTATTCATGAAATCGGATAGGTGCAAGTTTTAAAATGTGATTAGTTTTTCTCTCTCTCAAGATTCTTGTTTGCTTACCTTTCAAAAAAAAAAAAAATAATAATAATAATAAATTATTATTTGCTATTTATCATAAACTTTGTCATTGAAGATTGACTAAGGAGTCTATTTTAAAATGTGATAGTTTCTCTCATTCTCAGGATCCTTGTTTGCTTAATGTGGAGGGAAAAATTCTCCTCAAATAAGAATCGTCCGCGTCATTTAAAAGAAAAGACACAATCTTATAACCCATTCGAGCCCAGTTATGACCTAGTCCAAATAAGATCACAATCGGCCCAAGATGGATGATACCAATCTCTTATTCCGGGTGGAGATCATCCAACCCACCTTCATCTTAATCCAAATCCAGTCCAAGTTAATCAAAATCCTTTTATTTAATGATTCTTCATAAAGTTCTGCGCAAGGAAAAGCCTTACATGGAAGGAATTACAGAAGGAAAGTCCTTGTTAGTAAAGAATTGTATATGGAATAAATTGTAGGATAAGCAAAGCAAGTCGTACTATAATTCGACCATCTTTTTGTATATAAATAGAGGCTTAGACCTCTAATAGAGGGATCAAGCATTACAAGCTTTTATCTAAATTATTCTTGTTAATTGTTCAGTTATTTTGAGTGAGTTGTATTAAATTCTATTCGCTTTTTGGTTAAGCGGATTTTTGCGCCTGCACTTTTGCGCCATCTGTGGGAAACGTATAGAAATATACCCCCACGAGTGGTTTGAAACCTTTTATGCTACTACGATCCGAAATGTCAATCGGAGGAGTTGCAACCGCAACCGATCAACAGATGGAGCTTGTGCAAAAGATGCGAGAAGAGTTCTTACAGCAGTTCGAGGCCATTCGTTAAGCAAACGAGGCCAGCACGGCTCAGATTACGTTGCTTCAACAGAGTAACGATGCTCTTTAAGTAGCTATGACACAGATAGCACCGCAGCCACCACCTGGTGATGCAGCGGGACCTCATCCCAACCACAAAATTCCTCCTGTTAATGAACCTCAAGCCAATGAGGTTTGGCTTAATGAAGTTCGGCCCCACGAGGTTCTACAAGAGTAGAGGACAAGAGCCGAGGTGGTCGCTTCGGGCAATTATCCTCATCACGCGCAAGACGAACAGGCCGAATCTAGTCGTAAGCTCACAGTGTGGACTAATGACGTTCTGGATGGCATTGGTGTCCAGGAGGCCTTTAATGAGAAGAGGCTCATGAGGATTCAGATGCCCGCTGAGATGGCCAAAGAGCATAAGGCCTCTCTGGTAAAGACTCCATTCACTGATCATATATACAATGTTGACAGACCAAAGAAATTCACCATGCCTTCTTTTACTCAGTTTGATGGCATATGAGATCTTTCTCGTCACCTCGATCACTATTCGCAGAAGATGGCTCTAAACAATCACAACGATGCATTCGTGTGTAAAGTCTTCCCAATTAGTCTAATGGGTGTTGCATTGGAATGGTTCAAGAACAGGCCACACAAGTCTATTCCGAACTACAAAACTTTGTATACCATGTTCCTAGCACAATACTGTAGAAACAAGAAATAGAAGAAAACTATCGTTAGTCTCTTCACAATTAGACAGAAGAGAGGTGAAACGTTACAAGATTTCCTTTCCAGATTCAACATGGAAGCCTCAGAGATAGCAGATTGTCATCCTGAGATTGCTATAGAAACATTCAAGATCTATATGATCCAAGGGACTAAGTTCCATACCTCATTAGTCAAATATTCCCCTCCGGACATGCAAACTCTCAATGCCAGGGCACAGATTTACATTCGACTTGAGGAGAATGTAGCCCAACGAGCTTAACATGCCACCCTCGTCACAGTGGAAAATAAACCTCGGGAAAAAGCTCCAAGTGCAAAGAGTCAGAGAAGCTAGTATGCCTCAGCCCCAATCGCCCAAGTACCTGAGAAAAGACAGAAAACAGAAGAGAAGTTAACACCCCTTCATACCACATTGGCTCGATTATTTCAGGAGAACAAGGTGAGATTCACCGCTACTCAACCAATGCGACAACCCTTAAAACAGAGGGACAAAAGCAAGCAATGCACTTATCACAGGGATTATGGGTATACAACCAATGATTGCAAATCCCTTAGGCGACAGGTGGAAAACATGATCGTCAAAGGAGACTTAGTAGATTATCTCGTATTGAACGAGTATGAAAGGCCGAGGGAAGTAATTCTTCAAAAAGTAGAAGGAAATCAAGTAAAGGTTATTCATGCAATACATGAAAAGTTAGAGGAAGATCAGGAGTCAGAAGAGGTTTACCGCTCTAGATTGAGGGTTGTCCACAAGCTAAGAAAACTATCCTCAGTGAACACCATCACGTCAGGCAGCATCAGCATCGGATTTGGGGATGCAGATTTATCCAGAGTTCAGCTTCCCCATGAAGATCCACTTGTCATCAGTCTTCTGGTAGCAAATTGCATGATCAAAAGAGTCTTGGTAGACCTGGTAACAACGCCAATTTTATAACAAAGGCAGTTTTTGAGCAGTTGGAGATCCCATCATCATCAATTTGGCCCACCTCTAGTTCTTTGATAGGGTTCGATGGGACAGAGGTGGACCCCATTGGGGTAATCAATTTATCAGTCACTGCAGCGAAAAGGACATTGAAAGAAAACTTTGTTCTGACAAAAATCCATCCTTCCTACAACCTCATTATGGGAAGAGGTGGGATCCACCGAATGAATGGAGTCCCGTTTATCCTCCATCAGGTGATGCGATGCTTGTCTCTAGATGGAAAAGAAGTCATTAATCTTTGGGGAGATCAAGTTGCTGCAAAAGAATGTTACATGCTGATATTGAATGAAGCAAAGAAGGGGATTAAGCTGTCCAAACCAGATGTGGTCCTCGAAGATACTTCTAAATAGCAATTATAAAATCCTTTGCACAAGTATTTGGAAGCAGAGGAGGAAACTGAAGCTACAAAACCCACCGAGGAATCTCTCGAAGCTGTCGAAGTTTTCCTCGTTAATCCCCAAAAAATCACTTATATAGGCTCTTCCCCCACAGCCGAAGAGAATGAAGTATTAATTGATGTCATCCGAAGGAATACAGATGTGTTTGCCTGGGATCATTCGGACATGCTGGAAACATCCCTTCGATCTCATGCCATAACTTGAAAGTGGATCTTTCATTCAAGCCGATTAAGCAAAGACACAGAAGATTCGCTCCTGAGCATAATCGAATCATTGTTGAAGAAGTAGGCAAGTTGCTTCAAGCAGGTTTTATCCGAGAAGTGCATTATCCACAATGGCTCTCGAACGTAGTGGTGGTTCAAAAGAAGAATGAAAAATTGAGGGTTTGTATAGATTTTACCAATCTCAACAAATCTTGCCCCAAGGATAGTTTTCCATTACCCAAGATAGATCAGATGGTTGATGCTACCACTGGTTATGAGAGACTCACATTCCTTGATGCGTAATCTGGATATAACCAAATCCCTATGAATCCAGAAGATAAAGAAAAAACATCCTTTATTATAGAGAAGGAAACTTACTGTTATAAAGTCATGCCCTTCGAACTTAGGAACACTGGGGCGACTTACCGACGCCTCTTCAACAAGATCTTCAGCGAGATGTTGGGCATAACTGTAACACCCCCACATTTTCCACGCATAAGTTGATCAGGCTTATACACGAAAAACGAGGGATATCAAAAACAATTGGCAATATACAAGCATGGAATACAAAATGATGATAATAAAAGAATTTAGACAGGAAAGAAACATTAAATAATACAACATCCATCCATCCTTTATTTAATGTAGTACTTCATTACAACTTGGAAATCCTACGTCAGGGATCCCTAAATATAACCCTGATAGTTCAACGTCAAAAGTAAATAAAAACTGAAACTGAAGTATTACATAAAACTTCTACCCTGCACTGGATCGTAAGAGTAGATGAGTTCGGATGATGGTCCCACACTGCTAACCTCAGCCTTGAAACGGATACTGACCGTATCCTGAAATAACAACAATGGTGGGTCAACCCCACGAGCAAGTCCTCTCTACTATGACCCAAATCAGAGAATCAAATAAATTAATCATTATGAATCGGATGAGTACTATATCTGTATACATCCTACGGGAACTATCCGATGTATAACATGACCTCAACCAGAATAGACGGTGATCACTTAGACTCACACTAGGTGGTCAAGTGTCGCCTTTCCCTACCCGGGAAATCAGCTATTATACATGGTGTACGGTACTGACAACACAGACTATAACGAACTACACAGTGATAACACCTCGCAAAGTACTGATGAATATACTGAGCATATAAATTAGGCAACACATGCCAACAATATTAATAAATGTACCGAGAATGTCAATTTAGGCAACACATGCCAATAATATTAATAAATATACCGAGTATGTCAATTAGGCAACACATGCCAATAATATTAAACCACATACCCCGACAGCCACACATCTGTCTATCGCAACGAATGCATAAGGTATAAATGAGTCTAAACTTATTAGTCAGCTCACATGGTTCTATATGGCAACACATCCATATAATATAAATGCGACATAATAAACAGTCCATTTATTCCCTGAAATGCACACAGCATAATAATCATGGTTTATATACGATTAACAGTATAAATATTCCATAATATATAATGGGTTATTTATATGAAGAAAACCAAGCACTAATTAATTTAACATTAATGGTTATTACAGTTTAATAAAATAATACCATTAATAGTCGTTAAATCAATTACATATGTTTACTAGCGATTCGCACTTTAACTGGTACAATTAATATTTAGAAATATTAATCGGACAATTATAATAATTAACGAGAAATAAAATAATAATATAATGTCCCGTTAATTCCAAAAATGCCCACCCGAGGCCCCAAAATGTATAGTGAAGGTCCTGGTAATGACAAAACAGTCCCTAGGGGTATTCTGGACTTTTCCAGCAGCCGCAGAGGCCCTTCACGCGCCCCCACGCGCCTCCCAGAGCTCCCCACACGCGCCGCCAAGCTTTCCCACTCTCCCACGCGCGTCTGGCGTCAGCCACGCGCGCACACGCGCTCCCACGCGCGTTTGGAGAGTCCCACGCGCGCGCACGCGCTGCCACGCGCGCGTTGATGGCTTCCTGCTGACGTGGCGTTCTCCGGTTGGTTGGCTGCATCATCCTTCCTACATGCGCGCCACACCGGATCATCTCACCCTATCTTCCCTCCATCCAACGCCCACAGATCCGGGTGTACCGCGGTATCATGGACCGCGATGCACCGGATCAATCAGACTCCACTAATGGCCAGGATGCGCGCGTACACCCTCCTATGGTGCGCCGCGTCGCACCGGATCACTCCGGTCGTCTCCCCCACTGCCGGCGACCGGAAAACTCGCCGGAAGGTCGCCGGAAATTGCAGAAAATGCCCGGAAAAATCTAGAAAATTCTAGAAAAATCCCTAAAGTCTTATTTAATTATTTTTAGCCATTATTAAATTCATAGGACATTAAATAAATATATACCATCCTATATAATTAAAATTCCATTAATTTAATAAAATAAAATTAATAATTTATCAACCTCCTAACCTTGGCTCTATGCATAAAACTAAACTAAACAATTAATTTATTAATTCAAAGGGGAAAAGTAGATAATAACTTGCCTTTTTGGATTTAAAATAAATCCGCCGGTCTGCGCGTAGTCGGGTAAAATTGCCTACACCGGTCCAAGCTTCTTTCTCTTTCTCTTTTCCTTTCACTCTTATAAAATAGCTCTCTAGAATTTATACTTTGCTTCTAACTCCCTTTATTTTTTTTTCTAAGGCAAGCTAGTTAATTTATATACAAAATATATAATATAAATATTACAAATATCTTATTTTTTTCATCAACTAACCATCCTCCCAACCATATGGCTTCAATTCCAACCATAACCATTGATGCAATCCTATCCTAATCTCTAATTTCATCATGACAATGGTTTAATACTATTATTATTATTTATAACTATTATTATTATTTATTACTAATATTATTATTAATAAACTTTTATAATTATTATTATTATATTATTATTATTATTATTATTATTAAACTAATATAATTGTTATTATTGTTTTTACAAAATAATATATTATATTATCATAATACTTTATAACACAAATATAATATTCTAATTAACTAATATTGCTTCATTAAACATAATTAACAAATAAACAATTAAATGAATAAATTTACTATTTCAACATACACATTTAATTTACATGCACCATTAAATGAACTTAATATAACAATGAAGCATGCACAATAATAGGTACAGGAATCCACACATAATTGAATTTAAATACACTGAACTATTTAATTAATTACGGGGTATTACATTCTCCCCCCCTAATAAAGGAATTTCGTCCCCGAAATTCACTACATACCTGTCTTAAAAAAGTTCTGGATACTTGGCACGGATAATATCTTCCCGTTCCCAAGTAGACTCTGTAGCACTATGATGACTCCACTGTACACGTACTAATGGAATAGTCTTCGTGCGCAGTATCTGATTCCTACGATCGAGAATACAGTAAGGTTGTTCCAAATAGGTTGCATCGGGTTGCAACTCAATCTCACCCACATCAATGTGTTGGTATCGATCTTCATCCCGTAGAAATTTTCGCAGCATAGATACATGAAAAACATTATGTACCCTATGAAGATTATCGGGTAGAGCCAGACGATAAGCTACTGCCCCAATCCGATCTGTAATCATAAAAGGACCCACAAAACGAGGCGATAACTTACCCTTTGACCCAAACCGCATTACTCCCTTCATAGGAGAAACCTTAAGCAAAACCTGATCACCAACCTTAAACTCCAAAACACGAGTTCGACGGTCAGCATAACTTTTTTGTCTGCTTTGAGCTGTACGCATCCGATCCCTAATGATAGCGATCTTTTCTGACGTGTCCTTAATAAATTCAGGACCCAAAAAGCTGTTCTCACCAACTCCAAGCCAACAGACAGGAGACCTACACGGTCTACCGTACAAAGCCTCAAATGGTGCCATACCAATAGTTTTCTGATAACTATTGTTATAAGCAAACTCTGAAAGCGGCAAATATTCCTCCCAATTGCCCTTAAAATCAAGAACACATGCCCGCAACATGTCTTCTAAAATCTGATTAACTCGCTCAGTCTGTCCATCTGTTTGAGGATGATAAGCAGTGCTAAGATATAGTTCTGTACCCAAAGCCTGCTGAAAGCTCCTCCAAAATCCTGATACAAACTTCGGATCTCTATCTGATACGATGGACAATGGTACACCATGAAGTTTCACCATTTCTGCAATATACAGCTTAGCATACTGTTCTGACGTAAAGTTTGACCGAACAGGCAGAAAGTGAGCGGACTTGGTCAATCTATCAACAATGACCCAAATAGAGTTGTGATTATGCTGTGAAGTAGGTAATCCCTCTATAAAGTCCATGGAAATACTTTCCCATTTCCACTCTGGTATGGGAAGTGGCTGTAACGATCCTGGCGGTCTCTGATGATCAATCTTAATCATCTGACAGGTGCTACATTTAGAGACAAAGATAGCTATATCTCTTTTCATGCCGGCCCACCAAAACTGGCGTTTCATGTCCTGATACATCTTGTCTCCCCCTGGATGTACAGAGAACTGAGAAGTGTGTGTCTCTCTCATCACAACATTTCTCAAATTATCAGCTGAAGGCACAATTAAACGTCCCTTGTACCTCAATCCTCCATCAGTCCCTATAGAATAAAAAGGAACATCTCCGGAGGCTAACTCCGAAACCCGATCAATACACTGTTGATCTAAGAGTTGCGCTTGAATGACCTGATGAATGATAGAAGGAGTTACTACCACACATGCCATAAA